CTGCCCCTCCAAATGGCTGTCATTGGTAGCCGTGCCATAAGAGGTGCTATTGGGGCCATTGCTCAATACTGATCGGGCAAGGTTGTGAGGTAGGGGAGGTAATTAGGTTCTATTTTTCGAATCCGGCTGCAGCTTACGCGCCCGTCTACCTACACCACTGCAGTCCTGGGCTGGCAGCGACTAAATCGGGAACAATAGCTATTGTAGTTCTCGTTCCCAAGGGCGGTTGTACAGATTGCTGGGTCTAATCAGGTGTGAGGTGATGGTTATAAGGCAAAGCCATCTCTCTTGTCCTGTTTCCAAGCAGGAACTCATACCAATCCACACATCGCTATTCGTTTCTTGTTTCTTTCTTTCTTGATACTGGTGCTCCTGGTTGTGTACCCTATCTTTCCGTATTTTAGTCTATCCTTTGTGTACAGCACATCAACTTCACCCGAGAAACATCTACTTTTGCATCACTTACACCTCTGAAAAAAATCAAAGCATCGCCAACATGAAGGTCAACCCGGCCCCACTCCACCTCGCTCAGACAGTCATGACGGGACTTGTCGTCACGATGAGCCTTGCTATCATTGGAACCGCTGGACATACTCTGGACGTCTTCAACAAGCAACAGTCGTCAAACCCTTGGTGGCTTCCTCTGTGGCGTGATCACTTCGATGTCCACGGTACGAAGGCGTTGCTCGCATCCGGGGCGGTCACGTTCGTGCTTATGACTGCTTTCCTTGTTCTTTCGGCCATTCCTAAGGTAAGACCCCAGGACACGACCTTTGTGAAAGGCAGATTCTAATGCAGCGCAGTTCAATCTTGCCAACAAACCCACGCTTCGTGCTCTTGCCGCTATCGGTTCCTCTGCTTGTTCTGGTATTCTGTGCCTTGGAACCATCATCTACGCCTTCGTCCTCAACAACGATGCCCCCGAGCGTGACACAATCCAAACTTGGACGTGCAAATACAAGAATGGACGCCCACTCCAGCAAGACCTGTCGCTGCCTACAAACATGGGCAATGGAAACTTTGGGAGGTTGTGCCATGAGAGCAAGTTTGCACTGTATGGAACGCTAGTTGTGTTTCTGCTGTTGGGTTCAAGCACCATCCTAGGCGTCGTCGGCTGGTGTGCCGACAAGTGGGCAGCAAGGCAGACAAGGAAGGAGATGGAAACTGCATCGTAGATCTGTCGCGGTACATACCGGTATTGAGATCGATGACGGTTCATGAGACTGTATTGGATTGACGGGTACTGTCCACGTGTGAGTAGGCGAGAGTGACATGTATCATGATGAAACGACGAGGAAAACGTCGCAGAGTAATTACGCCGGAGACATATCACGACAAGGTGTTCGTTGGTGGGTCGACAGGGATTTCATTCGGCTGGCTGTATTTTTATAAAAGATGTTCGTCAGTGGGCGATGGCGAAGAATTGTAAACGTAGCGCATGTTGCGTTGTCCGTACATGCAGTCATGGTCTAAGGAACAAATTGTTCCACAACTGGGATACATGCAGTAATCTATCAAGAACCAATTTGTCGAAAGAGTACTAGCTGAGGTGAGGTGATGTGATGTGATGCGATACGATGCGATGCGATACACCTGGTGCAAAGGAAAGAGCAATCTCGACTCATGGCATGGCAGGACTCGGGAGTCGGGAGAGATGGATGTCAGTTTGATGTTCAAAGGGCGGGGCAAGATGTTGCACGGTGTCATGTGTATGTAGATTGTAGCCTGCGTTAGGGTGTGTCCATCAGCACCGTGCCGTGAATTTACTCATTCAAGACCGACAGAATATTGTACTCTGGCAGAGGTTATTTTAAGAGGCAATCACGTTGCTTTAAGCCCGAAAACATGCGCCAAACCGTTTCGGGCCGCCGTTGATTCACATTGATGGGCACATGTTCTCGCCTAAAGCTTCCAAGCCTGTCCCTACCCTGCCACCCTGCCCTGCCCTTGAGCGTTCCCTCACCACGAGAATAGCGCGTCGACTGCGCGCCCCTACAGAAAGGTCCCCCAGAGATCGGCAGTGACGCGTTTTGAAATCATCAGGAGAAGCCCGAACGACATCCACTGGCGCTACTGGTGCGGCCTGCATTTGGGACGCACCTGCACATGTTTGTTGGCGCAATTGTTTGCGGCATTCCATCTCACGGCAGCACGCACTTTATTGCACTCACCTATAGATACCACCGTCATATCCTGCTCCTGCTAGTCAGATTATCTGGCGGGGCGGCCTTTGTGGTGCTTTGGCGAGCGAAATAGCATTCGCCCACTGGCTCCCTTGATAAACAGAGTCGAGATTACCGTATTGATTACCCCAAGCCGGCATTTTCCTCACCAAAGTTGCACCTGTGCATAACAAACGAGTCCCATTTCAGCTCCCGAGGGAACGGGCCATCTCCAAACCAACAGACACGAGAAAGCACAGGCTCACGCCCCTCTCTACCCTCGAATACCGTCTCATCTTGCCCCCATCCCCTCCCCTTCGTGCACGCACACACACATTTACCACCACATCGACGCGATAATGCGTTCGGGATACGCACACGCTCATTCACAACCCCACCACCACCCGAACAAAAAACAGTACCAGCCCTCCATCACCAGCTTTTTCTCCTACCGGGACCTAGACAGCGACGACAGTGACCAAGAAGCCCAGAGCGAGCGGGGTTCTAGCCCGATTACCCGATCACAACAATTCAACCGTGCTCACGCAGCAACCACCCGAACATCACCATTCCACCACCAGCGGGAAACTTTGGTCCCCACTGTACCTGATCGTGTTCAAGCTGATCTCCTCAGTGTCGGCATGAGAGTCAGAAAGAGTGTGCCTGAGGGCTACAAAACGCACAAGACGGTTGCTCTCCCCTCGATTCAAACCACCCTGTCCATTGCTGGAAACGGGGGCACCATGACACAGACACAGTACAGCGTGAAGCCGCCACAAGATGCAGTGCCCGAGGACTATCAGCACCAGCGCGAGCTCTTGCCTTTCTCTGGATTACAAAAAATCGGTGGCTACGCTGAACAACCCGTCACCAACGTCCATCTTTATGGTGGCACATCCGCATCTGGCGAACGTGCCCTCAATCTCTTCCCTCTCCCAGCCGAAGCTTTCACCCAACCTTTTTCCTCTCAATCCTCGATGGACTCATCTGTCTCATCCTCTTCGTTGCGCCCAAATCCCACAAACCCTTACAAGCGCTCTTGGCAAGACGAAGATGACAAACCAAACAAGCTAAACACAGACTTCTTCTTCAAGATACCAGTGAAAATCAGCGAAGATGAGGTCCCCGTATCACCGCTATCCGAGACGCCGCCGACGACTATCGATGGATTTCCCCACACTGCCCTGCGCACCTTTGCGCAGCCCAAAAGTCGGAGACAAGGTCCTGGACGAGTCATGAATATTGACGGCATGGTGGTCAAGGATGTTGACATGGATATGACTCTGGAGAACTCCGAACAAGAAGGCCGTGCAAATGACTTCGGTGATGCGGACTTCCTGCGACCGTGGGGGAATTCGAGCGAGATCGAGATGGATGGTGTCTAAACACACCCTTTTTTCTGAACGGAGCAAGAACGAAACCGATAATGACGTTGACATGATTACTGGAGTATACGAGGGGATGGGCTCTTTTCTGACCTGGGAGGCTTTATATTTGGTTTCACGACATTCACCACACGCGCTTTTTTTCCATCTTTCTTATCCCTTTTACCGGCGATCCTTCCTACCTTCGTTTATCGACACTTTCGGCCTCCTCGATATTATAGACTGCGCTGTTTTTACACCCGCAACCCACGTCATGTTCTCTTTTCTCCCTTTTTGCCCTCATAATCTCGGAGCGTTTTGGCAACATAGTCTCGGCGGCGGCGGCATTTCCATTTCTTGATGTATACCCGACTTTTTCATCGTTATCATGGTCGTCATCTTCTTCTGCCCCCCACCCTTCCCCCCCATTTTTTTCTTTCGCCTTTATAATACCTTATGGCCGCCTCCCCTTTTTTTCGACTGTATAATATAGACTTTGCGTCCATCGAGCACATACACAGATTGGTTCCGATGAGACTTGGCCGGATTGGATAATTACCTGGGTTAAAGAAATATGATATTCTATGGCTTCTAAACCTACTTTCTCTCTGTCTATTTTTGAAAACAACAATGTGCTTACGAAGGCTTGGATGGTCCGTCAGAGGTTTGCGTAGCATTATTCTCGCATAGTGGTCACGAGTCAGCATTGCACCCCAGCTTAATGACAATTCAGGAACTGGGCACACCCGTAACATTTTACAAATGTTGTAACTTCTTCGCAAACTGTTGTTCATGTATCTGCACGAATGGCTTGTCTGCTTTATTCGGAGCAGACCATAGCCGTCCGTCTGTACCACGTATATGCTACTGAGCTAACGGACAAGACAACGAAAAATACGAATTCGTCCTGTGATTTCAAGATACAGACATTACCTACGCGAGATGTAAAATGTGGGCTTTCAACAGCATACTTAAAATTATTATGTCCAGAAATGGGTGCGTCTAAGTCTTTTTAGCATCCACCTCATCCATCCAAAACCTTATCCCCAGCTATGGTCGGCACTCTTGATTATGGCTTTGTATATACAGGGGTTATGTATGTAAATCTAGGTTTAAGTTTTTGAGAGGTAGAGGGGATGATAGAGAGAGGGAGGTAGTTTGGCAAGTTGGTAGGATTTCCATTCCTCTCGTACATACTGTGTATGTGTACTGTGACTTTTCTAGTGTTTAACGTTACGGCAGTAAAGTTAGCTACATACCATACCATTGGCGCTTAAATCACGAGGACGATTCAGCAGCCAAACGAAACTCTTTCCCAGTCTAGCCCTGTCCCTTGCCCCACTTGACTACTGCGCACACAAATTTATCCCACCAAAACCCCTCACTTTTCCATTCGCAAAAAAGATAGACTATATATAATAAAAGATGCATGGAAAATCCCAATCAGATCAGATCAGACTGGCAATTAAAAACGGCCAGCATGGCGCAGTGGTAACGCGTCGCACTTGTATCAAGCAAACGAGCAAATGCGAAGATCATGAGTTCAATTCTCATTGTTGGCAATTACACCACTCTGATTAATCATCTTTTTTATTGTTTTTTTTTTTTTTTCAACATGAGTCTTCTTTTTTTTTGTTGGAGGGCGAAGGAAGTGTGGAGGGAGGGAGCTAGCGTGTCCTTTTTTTTTTTACTGCGCGGGAAACTAAGTAACTTAGTGACCATCTGCGTTAATTGTTTGTTAGAAAGCGTTGGTTGTTTCTGTGTGTTTGTTTTGGTGGTGATGGTGGTGCAATAGTGTGGAACACGGACGGGACGAAGCTCTCTGGACCAGGCTGGTCTCGAGGCGAGGAAATTTCAAACTCCTCCCATCCTGATGCGTTTGGTGATGAAATGATCAATAAGAAACCACGACATTTAATTTTAGTTGTCATGGTGCTACAGGGGGATGACACGCCAGGAAAATACATATCGGGTACACAGTGTACTATATAGTATACGCAAATTAGATGTACCAAACAACGCTTCAAGAATCTCTAATTCGTAAGACTTGTTAGTCCTCCCAATATGTATCTTCCCGGCGTGTCACACCCCCCCCTTCCCCCCCGAGTAAATGCGAGTGCTGCCGTGTACATACGTTGTACGTTCCCCCAAGTTGACTGCGAGAGTGCTTAAGGTAGCTAAGCCCTACGATCCATCCACCTGCCCAATCCTACTTCCTACCATGCAAAGCCCCCCTAGATCCCTCAAACAAACACCACCGCGAAACAAATCCAAATATTTAAACCAAAAAAAAAAACCCCCCTCAACCTGCAAAAGTTCCTCTCTCTCTCTCAAGAAAGAGAGGCTCGAGGCTAGAGATGAGTAATAAAGCGTGAAGCGTGGAGGCTTACATATATAGGTACTAGAAACGGTATGTTTATGTAACGAATAGGTGTTCAGCCTTGCTTCTACATCTACATCTACGTACGTGAGTCGTCAATCATATACATTCCCGTGCTTATATGTACAACATATCTTTAATGCAGAATTGGAAAAAAGACTTCGAAAACATATCAATAAATTTTCTAATTCCCGAGACCTGCCTAACTATGTAGTGAACATCTATGTAGCCACAGACCGCGCTTCGTCACTCACGTGTTCGAATGTCTCTATGTATGTACGTACTAGTTGACCGCGGGTGCAATACATACATAGCTATGTACATTTCTCTTTTTTCTTCTTCTCTTCCTCTCCGCTATGAATCATGATGAGAATAGCAGAAACGACTCGAGCCCTCTCTCATGCAGCTGCACAACTGGCGAACTCTTCCCTACACATGATCACGCATGGTACGATTAGTTGCCAACTTCGTAGCTATTGTTAGGGGTCTCCCCTTCACTAATTGTGGAAACGCGGAATTTACTTTCAAGTAATACTACTATTTTTCTGGGTAGCGAAGAGGGCATTGCAGGGTAGAAATTTCAAAAGCAATCAAAATAGTCCATCAATTTCATCCACTAAACTAACCAAACCCCCTAAACCCAGAAGCAGAAAACAAATAACCATAAAAAAACGTCGAATACGAAAGACTAGAAAGGGATACAGTCGTTAGGAGACTGATCAGGAGGCGACAGCTAAAGCCCCCTGATATAACCTGCAAAAACGAATCACACATTAACATGTGTCCTCGCCAACACACCACACCACCCAGAAAAAGAGAAACGAGGAAGCAAAAGAACTCACCGTTCGACCCTCTCTCAAGCACCTCAAATCCCTCCACCAATCCCCCCTCGTTATCTGTATTCTTCAGCCCCAAAACGTCCGAGTACAGCGCACACACAAATCGATATGTCGGATCCGGGTTAGGGCACGCGGGACCAGGGACCTTTGTCGGCGCACGCTCAATATATGTGTTGAAACCGCGACAGGCCTCGTTGGCAACGGCATTGCAGGCTTCGGCGCACTCGGTGGCGTTGTACGACGTCATCTCGAAGTGTATAATGTATGCCGAGGGATACAGGGTGGCACCAGAGGCATTGTAGAACTGTGCCTGGTAGTTTTTTGGGACGTTGTCGGGTTTGGCGGCGTTGATAGCTAACTCGGAGTATTTGGGGAAAGTGACGAAGGCGTGGGTTGTTGGGGGCCCTGGGGTTGGTGCTAAGAGGGGTGAGGGTTAGTGATTTGGGTTGGGCTGGAGGGAGGTTTGGATGATGGGGTGGGTTCGGGGAAGAGGAAGAGTGGACTTACCATGGCCTTCTGGAAGTGGGATACAGAGTCCGATGGGTTCTTTGTCCGCGATATGAGCTGTTGTTGGTTGGGAGGCTGTGAAGCCGATGATGACGGCGGTTGCGGCGCTGAGAATAATGGAAGAGAGCTTCATTTTGGTTGATGATGGTGGTTACGCCGACCGGGTACTGCAGTTCTGGTGTATTAGATGCTTGTCGTTGTCGTTCATTGAGACAAGACTGAGAGTACTCACCACGGTATCACTAGTTGGAAAGGCTGGATAGAAAGATGCCGCAACAATAGTGGACGCTGAGTTGGGGGAAGGAAAAGAAGAGGAAGAACAGTGTGCCTTGTCTGCTTCTGCCTTCACATTCCCAAATTCATGGTTGACGATTGCCTTGTTCGTCCTTTGCTCTTTCCCATTCCCCACCACGCACTTTATTTTTCAAAGTGTGGCAAGTGAAACCCTATACGGTGGATAATAGATAAATCGTGGTTCACTTGGGGATCAATAGCGAAACTTGACGTTGCGGCCAGTAAGGGTATTGGTTAACAGGAAGCATTCACTAATGTAAGGAGAGCTGCCGTAGCAGAGACGGAGATTATTTGCGAGTAATAGATAACAACTTTTAACGTGTATAGCATATCGATGGACCGACCGACTCATCATGCGAAGCGATACATTCTCAATGTCCATCTCGTCGGCATGTCATACAAACTGTGTTCAACCTACATCATGCAGACTCTCACAAAATAGGCCGGTCTCTGCTTTCCTTCCAGCCGTGGCAAACTCAATTCAATGAACCGGACACTTTCTATTGTATTTTTTAAAAAGCCTCGAGGACCAGCATGAACTATCAATGGACAACGCAACGCGGGGCTGACAGGGGGGTATGCTAGTGATAGAAACAGGAAAAGGAATCGAGTCGAGGTAACAAAGAGGGCTTAGTAAAAGAGAATTGATAATCAATGGAAGGAAAGATACGTTCTCACGTGTTTCGTTTCGTAAGGGCTCTCCCCTCGTTCCCACCTCCCCCACAACCACCGACCCAACATATGAATGTGCATTACTGGCTCTTCTGCACCCTCACCCATTCACCCCTAATCAATCCCGCACATTGATACAATATCTAATGAGGTATCCGCATGTTACCCAACAAATGGTGAACCATGTAAAAGAACTTTTTCCCACTCCAAACGCGCCTATATGCGATTAAATTACCTGAACCGAGCCGTGCAGCGACCCATGACTTCACCTTGGCACACAAGTTCGGCATTGAACTCAGAGCCGTCGAGGGTAAGGTAGATATCAAAGTAGACACGGTAAAAAGTACCCTGAGGCGTGTCCATACGTTCAAAGTCCTTTTCGAGGTTTTTGCGTGAGAGATCAGAGGTGAGGGTGACAACTTCCTTGATGCCTGGCGAGGTGTTAGTGCAGTGAACGTTGGGGAGAGGCAGGGCAACTTACGAGGGTCCTTTGTGTATTCGGGGCAGACATCGTCGTCACAGGCGTAGAGGATATCTTCGTACATAAGGGTAGCGCCTGGTGCCACTTGTCGGAAGAATGACACCTTGACAGGCTCGCCAATCTTGACACGCTGACCCTTTTGGACGAAAATCTGTCGAGTGAACTTGCACCTGTCTTTGCCATCCAGAGAAGGTACACGGTACTGTTCGGGGTGGTGACCCTCCTTGAAAGGCTGGAGGGTGGCCATGAGATAATGTCTTCGGGCAACACGGTGAGTGACAATACGCTCAGTGATACCTGCCGTAACGGCGCCTTTGACGATGGCAGCAACAGAGTCCATAGGACGGACGACCTTGGACTGGAATTGCGGTGGGACATGCAACTTGATCTGCTGGAAAAGGTACTCGGAAGCACCAAAACCACCAACAACGAGGACATTCTGCGCTAGTTAGAACCTGTATATATGATCAATGCCGTGACTTGACGTACCTGGAGAGACCTGTTCTGGGCTTGAATAGCGATGATCTGATTCCTCACCAACTCCAAAATGCGGTTGACGACGGGCTCGAAACACTGCAGAATTTCCTCATTGGTGAAAGTCATGTAACCTTCTTCGATGCCAGCCTCAGGGTACTCGGCTTCAATACCAACATCAACAGCCCACTTCTGACCATTGTTACGGAAATCGGCTTTTATCCGGTTCTCAAAGTCCATGATACATTTCGCGTAGACCTTACCGGCGGTCCTGGAACCATCGGGAAGCTTCATTTTACGAATCTTCGCGCGCAGGATGTTGCTGAAATTTCGGTTCAGGGCTGTGGAACCACACGAGTCACCAGATCCCGCCGTGCACTCAGCAACGGAGAAGGGCTGCTCTTCTTCGAGTTCATATGCAATCAAATCGACAGTACCACCACCACAATCCACAATAAGCACAGCGTCATGAAGCTTGAGATTCAGCAGACCCGTCTTTGAACAGAACATAGCGGCGGCTTCAGGTTCCGTAATGAGGGTCAGACGGTTGTCATTCTCGTCCCGCAGGAAGCCTGCCTGAATAGCAGCAGCACGGGTAGCGGCCTTGCCAGCATCGTTCCAGATAGCAGGTACAGTTAGATAATAGCGGATGTTGCGCTCTTCTCTGTTGAAAACCTCACCCAGAGTCTTTTGCAGCTGGTTGCGCATGGCCTGGCGCAAGTGGAAGAGGTAATCGGCGGCGACATCGATCTCGGACTTCCCTGGGGGTAGTGGGGGCAGGTTGATGGGGTCAATGTATGTGTTACCAGACAACATGAGCTGAAGCTTGAACCATTCGACTTTTTGCACACCAGGCTTGGGGTATCCGGTGGGGGCCAGAGCATCGGCGATATCAGGACCCCATCCCACGACTTT